AGAGAGAGAGAGAGAGAGAGAGAGATAACAAAATAAGTAACCGGTTTATCGCTCAAACCGAAGCCCAATAAGTCGGGTGCGATCACACGGCGGACATTCCTCCTGAGATCGGGTAATATCTTATACCAATCAAAACTAGATGTGGGAAAGCCGTGCAGTAACAGCACTGTTATGTCATTGGCTCCGGCGGTCACTTCATCTGCCAATCAAAATACAAAATCAATTAATAAAAGGTCATTAAGAGGGGGAGGGAGTGAGGGTATGGACGGGGGTATCAAACCTTTGTAAAAGACTCGGTAGCCCTTGAAGTCCATGTGTTGGCCACTGGACTGCCATTGATATAATAGTGGACTGAGTGGAGGCTCCGGATAGTTGACGTATACCGTGAATATGATAGCAAATGCGACCACAAAAATGCTCACGGTGTTTACCAAAAAGCCCATGGTACAATTATTTGCCGGTCTCTTCGATAACAACAGGTGTTTCACAAAGTATTGGTTTTTAACGCTTTTTGAATTAGTTTTTAAAATCACATAATATTTGGCAAAAACCTTTTTTTGTGTTTTAATTATAAATAAATGCTTTAATTTTTATGATTTATTAAATGTTTTGTAAATAAATTGATGAAATTTTTTGTACACTATTTGAAAACATTAGCACAAAATAAACTTCTCATTCAATGAGTGCTATTCAGTGAACATTCATATATACTGTTACGTGTAGTTTGAGAGTTTTAGCATTATAATTTTTCAACATTACCAGTTTGTTTTAATTAATTAACACAATCTTGGTACATTTATAATTAATAATCTTTACTGTGATGAAGTCCACGAATTTAATTTTGTTAAAATTATATTAGATAGATCATTTTTATAAACTTAAACTATAATTAACTTGAATTACTAGTGATAACATTTAGACCTTGTGTACTTTTTGCACTCGTGTACTTTTTGCACTAATGAACTTTTTGCACTATTCACACTATTCATACTATTTGTTCTAGCGCAGTTTTGTACTGTAAATTGTACTTGTATATTTCTAATTCAAATAAAGTAAAATTCAAAAATAGCAATTAATATATAATATGTATTATAAACTTCACCCCAGAGTTCACACCAAAAAATACTCGATTGTTATGTGATATGCGATGAGTAAAGCGGCCCAGAATTGTGGCCATAACTCGCGAGCCATACGCTTCACTCACAAGTTTTCACTTTAAAGTTTTAAAAAGTCATGTATTTCTTATGGCGAAGTTTCCCTAAGAGAAGTTGCACTGTAAATAAATATGGCACATTATATTGCAAATTAATTATAAATAATTCAGTGAACAGATTTGAAAATATTGCTAAATAAATTGCACAAAACACGTACAAAGAATGTAATTTGTAATTACAAATAGTTTGTTTGTTTTGTTTAAACTTTTAATTTATGTTTTAATTAATATAAAAAATTAAAAACATACCAGTTTACGATTAATGTATACATTATTAAAAATAATTTATTGATTATAATTATTAAATACAATTTTAATTACAGTTATTATTAAAACTAATTATAACCAGAGAGAGAGGGGTGACGAGTGTTAGCTGCAAAAGGGGGCGTAAATATTGGCATAAGTTTATTAATGAACACGTTGTTTATGAACAGCTCTCGCATTGCAATCATTGAATACGAAAAATCAATTGTAAACAAAAAGCCAAACAAAACATTGAGTTTACGTTCAAAACGGCGTTTAGTATTGAAAAAACCATTTGAGAAATGAATTCACAAATCATGTTATAATTAACGGACAGTTTGTGTGCAGTCTATGGCCGCGAGTAGTGGTGTTGAGTCGGGCCGAGTGTTGGCCGTATTGGAGACCTATCGGGTGCTGGCGTTGGAAGCGATCAATGACTGCCACTGCCGTCACAACACACCCGACGTGTTTCATCAGCTCATCAAATGGGAGCGACTGTACCATCAGATCAAAGCCACGGCCACCGCAGCTGATCCACCGCTGGCCGCCACCGATGCCACGCATGGTATGAGTCATACCGTATGACCCGTTTTGGGTGATGTAATCGATGGTAACGTTATGTCAACTAATTGTTTGTTTGATTGGATCAGATGTGGACGAAGAGTTGGTGACAGTGTTGTCGAGCTATCGTCGGTGCGCTTTGGACGCCATCAACGGGTGTCAGTGTCGGCACAGGTCTGCGTCCGACGTGTTCGCGAAACTAATCCAATGCGAAAGAGATTACCATTTAGTGAACGAAGAGTTTACCAAAACTAGTGATAATAATGAGCCGCTGATTACTGGTGACGGGTTGTCCGCCGCCGCCACTCATGTGATGGCCAACAGTGCCGATGAGTCCAAACCCATTGGCGGTGATAATGCGGCCATTGATTGCGATTATAAACTCCAGTCAGCGATGAATGACACGAAAGCCGGCGAATTGTCTGACAATAAGTCGGCCGCAGTTGAGGCCAAAGTGGACTTAAAACTGGTTAAGAAACTACCGATTGATGACATAAAATGTGTTAAAATGGATATTAAAGTCGACATTAAGAGTGATGTCAAACACGATCTCAAAACTGATATTAAAACTAATATTAAAACTAATATTAAAACTGATATTAAAACTAATGTTAAAACTTATAGTAAAATAGATGTTAAAAGCGATAATAAAAGTATTGACACTTCGCCGCCATTAGAATCAGAGAAGTTGTCGCCAACGAGAAGTGATACGAAACCGGCGGTCAGTTGTCCGCCCAAAGAGTTGATTGATATAACAGATGACACTTCAAGTGATGGTATAATTTATCCGTTAAAAGAGATGATAAAAATTATAATTTAATTATTTTTTATCCCTTTATTTATTGACAGACAATACGACCACTACTGGCGAAGAGTTGCCTAAAATCATTGCCACAGAAGAAGTGACAAATGTCTTAAATCATGTGATAAACACTAACACAACGCAAACCACCGAAAGAGTGCTATTGATCTATAAAGTGGTGCCATTGAACCAACCATTGGTCGCAACAACCATACCATCGGCGGTAACAAACATACCATCGGTGGTAACACACCTACAATCGGTGGTTACAAACATTAGTTTTGGTAGTAATAACAATAGAAACCCTACAAACCATACTGTCCTACAGTGCTATTCAAAGAAAGGCAAAACTCCAGACAATGACAACTACGACGACAACAGCGCCGTTACCGACAGCCCATTACCGCCGCCGGTATTACCGCCACAGTTGTCGTCAGTATCGCCGGAACCGGTGGTCACAATCAAAAAGAGATCGATGTTTAAGTGCGCGGAATGTCCCAAAAAGTTTAGGTTTGAGAAAAAGCTCAAACTTCACGTGAAATTAGTGCACACAAAACGGCTCGCGTGTACTCTCTGTGACTTTAAGGCCGTCAAAGCCAACACTCTGGCCAAACATCACGCGAAGAATCATTCGTATAGACCATTGACGGGTCAAAAGCCGTCGCAAACCGACTCATTGTTGGCCACCGAGAAAACAGTGAGCGATAAACAGACGGCCACTGAACCCACGCCAGAGCCGCCGCCGCAGCCAGCGGTGGACGCGTCGGAGGATCCGTACCTAACGGAGCGGCCGTTCGTATGCCATACGAACGGCTGTAACGCCGCGTTCAAGACTCGGGACGCGTTGAAGGTTCACAAGTCGTCGGGCCGTCACTTGACTCAACGCACGTGTCGGTGCGGTGTTTGCGGCAAAACTTTCTTCAATAATCACAGTCTGTCCAATCACAAGCGACAGCTGCACTCGGGAAAGGCTAGGCCAGTGGCCGCGGCCTCAGTGGTCGCCGTCGACGAGAACACCGCGTGCACCGAATGCCACAAACGGTTCCGCAGTGTCCAGTCGTTGCTGAAACACGTGCGCACTGTTCACGTGGCCCTCGAGTTCGGCTGCGAGTCGTGCGACTTCAAGACACACGTCAAGTATGAGCTCAACCGTCACCGACGGCTCAGCCATCCGGAGCTCAACGCCGGCCCCGTCACAGCCGACCCGTTTAGATGTCTAGTCAACGGCTGTCCGATGGTGTTCGCCGCCGAACACGAGCTGATCCAGCATAAGAAGGACACCCATTGGCGTACGGATGTGGCGGCCGGCGATGCGGAACAGTTCGCCTGCGATTGGCCGCAGTGTACGCGACGGTTCGTCTCCGTCGAGAAGCTCGACAAACATAAACGACTCCACAGTTTGGGTAAAATCAGTACCGAAAGAATGCCCGCAAAGCGGCCGTCCATTGCGGTCGACACTAGTCCTGAAGTTTGTGAGTATTGGTGTTAATGAAGTGATTGTTTTAGTGTTTTTCTCATTGTTTTTGTCTGTTTTTTCAGTTGATTCCTATGAAGATATGTTTGGAGACTCGGCTGAAGACACCGACGATGTGGTGATCGAAGAGATACCGCAAGATATGGACGAAGTATTGACCGAAGAGATCGATAGTTCGGACGACGAGTTGGAGGTTGTGTTCGAGTCGTTGGCCAACAAGTAATCCATTATCACTCAGGAAACAGAGGCCACTATTTTATAAGCATTTGATATACACTTGTTTTTTGGTCGCAAAAAAAGTTGTCACAGAAATAATTATATCTTTAAATACACTTATATTTTGACTAACATTTAAAATATTTACCATAATTTAAATGTTTTTAGTCCCCCCTCTGCCCCACATTCCGCCCCTTTTTTATACTCTTAATTATCAAGACTTAATATATTTGATTATTTTTTGCAATAATTATTTTAATTTCGTATTTATTTGTTAGGCAATAATTAGTTCAAATTACAATTAGACTGTCATTAATCGTGATAAATATTATGTAGAGTTTTGTGAATTATTTGATTTAATTATTAAATGTTATCAAAGATGTCAAATTAATAATAAATATAATAATTACAGTAATAACTATTACTGTAATTTGAAATTATATACTCAATTGTGTTTAAAACAAATAAAATGCATAGCAATTGAA